GCCCTGGGACTGCAGAGCCAGAGGGAAGTATAGTCTGGCCTCTGCTGTTGGCTAGAGGACTATGCTTGCTCTGCTGGGTTGAAATAGTTAACTATCTATTATGTAATTTTTTAAAAATTATTTTTAAGCTTAAGCCACTTCGAGTGCTTAGTGCAAGCAGAAAGGCAGGATGCAAATATTTTAAATAAATAATCATCCAGAGTTGCATTAACAACTCTTAAAATCAAAATTAAATTACAGTTGTTTTAAAACAATATAGATGTTAGTCTATGTTGTGTGACATTTAACGTATTAATTTGTTTACTTACATAGGATTGCTGAAGTAGACTTTTCTCAGATATGTTGTTCCACCACTATGTTGTATTGGCTCTCTGTATATGGTTTATATTCTTTCCGGACAGTTTCTACATGTTGTTATTAAATGTTTCTTCATTCTTGTTGCGTTGTTAGTATACGTCTGCCCACAATATTTACATCTACCAAGTTTCTTCCTTCCTTCAGTGGCTTGAACTTCACTATAATGATGGCACAGATTAGTTTTTTTTTCTGATTAGGCATTATTATGACTACTTCAAATGAAAAGCACAAAAAAATTAACAGATCCTGTGCAAACACTTGCGACTTCCCCAACTTGAGAAAATAAATGAGACACTGCTCTGTGTGTTTGCTGAACTGAAACAAAAATTAATCACAGTTTTAGTTTTGGTTTTGGTTTCACTTGCAGTCTGAGATGAAATAAGAATTTTAGCTTTCGTTTTGATTTGACCTGCACAGCCAATTAGGTGAATTCATAATTTTATTTTTGGTTTAGATTATTATGTGAGTCTATTTACCCTCCTGTTTACAAATCCATAAAACATATCTGTACTCTCACACACACTTCCTAGGGATAATCACCTGAAAAACATCGATTACAACTTTAAAACTGCCAAGCTTGCCTAATATTGTATTGGCATCCATTCATCGTTACTAATGAATTTTATGAAACAATGAATTTATAAAATGGAAAATTTCCCACTGAAAAACAAAGCTCTGGAAAATTTTCCACCCCACATCTCTGCAAATATATACTTGCATGCTCTACAGCAAAACTTTACTGACCAAATGGTTTACATGAGCACCGTGGTATAAATACAAATAGTACTGGTACAATAAATTCATTAGTTTTATTTGTTCATGAAGTAAGTTTAACTCAGTGGTTGGGGCAGTAGCATGGAGCAAAAGATTTGTTTGAGCATAACCTTAAATTTTTATGATGTTTTCTGCTTCTTCACTTATTCTTCAGGTTAAAGAACTAAACCACTATTTGGAAGCTGAGAAGTCATGTAGGACAGATTTAGAGATGTATGTGGCTGTCCTCAATACACAGAAATCAGTCCTGCAAGAAGATGCAGAGAAATTACGGAAGGAATTGCATGAAGGTAAATTATGCAGTCACACCAGGTGTGGCTTTCCTACACTAAAGACTTGAAATACAATGCCAGGTGGCTTTCTCCTGTTGTTTAGTAAGCCAAGATTTAAAAAAAAAAAAAAAAACAAGTATTTTAAATGCTAAACCATTTGAAGTTTCTCCCTGATGAGCAGTTCTTATACTGCTGGATGTATTTATTGGGGAGAAGAGGAATGAATGCGTTCTTGCCAAAAGTTACTGAACTTGTACTACCGTAACCTCGTCTTTGTTATAATACCCCTGTATTTAGAATTAGTAGTAGTGATCTTTGTTTCCAGTAAAGCGATGTGCTAAGAATTGTAGAATTATAAAAGAGTACAGTCCCAACACTGAGGAGCGTACACTCTTGTGTTTTTTGAATTTCAATAGGAGGGATGTGGATGTGGATATCTGCAAGTGCAAATATGTAAATTATACCATTTAAAGAGAGTATAAGCAGTCGCTTTTATGTTGAAATAAGCAAGACAAATGGCCTTTATCATTTTGTTTAAAATAACAAATCTGAATGGTTTGTTTTTCAGCTCCTGTGTGTAGAACGTTTAAAGGTTTCCTAATTCAAATGTTATTGCCAGTAATATGTACCTCTGACCTTACCCACACTTGAGCTAATGAAATCCCCATTCATTTCACCTTTAATAATTATTGAATGAAATTTGCCACGGAGTAGAGCCCTAACACTTATCTTTAACTCATACAAATCTCTTTGGTTGAAGAAAAAGAAAAATGATCAGCCATTAAAATCCAATTAAAAACTCTTGTTTTGATTTCTTGAATAGTCTGTCATCTCTTAGAGCAAGAACGGCAACAGCACAACCAGTTGAAACACACGTGGCAAAGGGCCAATGATCAATTTTTGGAGTCTCAGCGTTTGCTGATGCGGGATATGCAACGTATGGAAATTGTTCTGACCTCTGAACAGCTGCGACAAGTTGAAGAATTAAAAAAGAAGGATCAGGTCCTTACTGCCTTCGTTTAATTTGTAGTATGAGCTTATAGAGTTAATATGTTATATCAGTTATTAAAAGTGCTCGGTGGGCTAGAGAATACCTTGTGGCTTTACTTTGGCTCTTGATTTATTTTATACTTTGCAAAATGCATTTGTATTTCAGAAAGTAACAGTTTATAGAGCTTAATAGAAAAAGTGCATGTTTGTTGCATTTAAAAATTGTTAAAACATTTGCATACCAGCAATTGCAGCAGTGCTGCCACCATCAATAAGAGAAATTTTAAGAAAGGCTGGAACTTAAGCTTGTAGAGAGAAATGGATCCCTTGCAGTATAGAAGGACTGAGTCAAGAAAGTTGAAAGGGCAGATTTTTTACAACTTTTTAAAATACAATTCCTTGCTCATGGGTAAATGAAAAGATCATTGTATTGGGTGCTACTACAAAGAACAATTACATTCTTTCATTCTGAGGATTGTTTATAATTCAAGATGATGACCAATATTTTATCACTCTTCCCTCCTGCCCCACTTTGTCTGATTCAAGCTTCTTGTATATGTCCTTTGCCTTTTTCAGCATGTTTTTCTTTCCTTTGGTTCAAATGCCCATGCTTTTGTTAATGACACCTTTCAGTGTGTACAGGTAGGGTAGTTTAAACAGTCTTTCTTTTATAATCTTATGTCTTGTAGCCCCTGATAAGAATGAAGGTTAGCAAAGAGCAATTCCTTTTGGAATAGCATTTGTTCTAATCATTGAATCAACTCAGTAATAGGTTCTTCTGTTAAGTCAGTATGGCAGCATATGCCTCTTGTGAAATGGGTACTATTATATATCTCCCTGGCTAAATCTCTTCTCTATAGTTAGATTTATTAAGGGAGTTCATGCAGTGGCTTCCAAGTTCAAATTTGCATTTGCATGAAATAGGCCAAAATGTGTTTTATATTTAAATATTTTTCATTGACGACTGATTTCTAGGAAGAAGATGAGCAGCAGAGACTTGGCAAAAGAAAGGATCAGAAACAAAAAGATCCAGAAGATGAAACAAAAGTAGTATGTTCCCATGAAGAATCCCTTCCACAGTTCTCTAATGAAGAGGTAAAACAAAAGAACCATTCAGAGTAACTGCAGTATGCATTTCCCATGGTGTTTGGTATAAGGTGCTGCCTCAGTACATCTTGGCCTTTATCCTCAGTTGGTTATCAGCCTCATTGAACAATGAATGCTTTTGAGTTGCTGTTGCATGGTCATGCTTGTCTGGATGTGGCGTAAGAGCCCAAAAATGATGCTTTTGGATATTGTCAAAATCTGTGTGTGTGTGTAATCATTATCATTTTTTGGGTTGGCTAAAATTGTATTTGAGATCTGCTTCAAATATTTTCACTTGTCAGAAACAAGTACTAATGAATACCTCAGTTTGAAACTTAGAAACAATGTCAGATTTGAGTAGTTTAAATTGCTTTTTCTTCTTATTCCAATGCCTGTATAGTTGCTTTGATCATTGTCTGGAAGTTCACTTTTGGCCCTATTCTCAGTTGCATATCCAAATGTAATTTTTTAAAAACTCATTTTGTTCTGTCCTGTAAAAGCACATGTAAACCCTACAGAAGGGATTTGTTAACTTGCATGAGCTTTTAAACGGAATGTAAGCAGAAGTATTTCTTGTGAGCGTATTAAGTATTTGAATCTGCTTTTATAGCCTTAGATTATTTTGCAATAAATTGTCAAAAGAGGGGAAGATTCTCATGAGATAAGCATTTATCTGGCAAGGGTTAGGAGTAGTGCATCCAGTATTTGTGCAGGTGGTTGAACTATATAAGCCTTAGGATTGGAAGGGACCTTATGGTTTTAAAATGTAGAAAAACGTTCTAAGCCTTCCTGTTGTATGGTATTGTGGCAAAACCCTGTACATTAAAATCTCCACAATGATTTTTTTTTTTAAATTGTACCTACATATTTTTTTTTTTTACTTTCCCATTGCAGAAATGTCCAGCAGTTCAGTAGCCTTTTTCCGTTTATTTTAAACCATTTTTAAAAATACACAAAATGTACTTTTAAGCTGCTTTTAAAAGTTCAACTTAAAAAAATGAGTTTACTTTGCTGTAAATGAGCTTATTACGTTATGTAACATATGCAGTTTGAGACACTGTACTATTAAGGTAGTTTGTGACTGCTCCTGAAAGACCTAGGTTTGAGCCTGATTAAGGATAATGAAGTACAGAAGTTTGAATTTTCTTTCTTGTATCTGCTTGAGTTTGAAACAGGACCTTAATGTTTTAAATTTAATTTTTTTTCCTTTGTGTGTTGAGTTGAATGAAATTCATGGTCTTAGCGGAGACTGAGCAGGATTCAGTGATTCACCGCTTCCTACAAACAATGTGACATTTAAGAACTGGTTAAGGAATAAATTACAATTTAATCATAACTGGGCGCATCTACATGTGATACTAATGCGTCTGATTAAGCTCTGGCGCAGTTTGTAATGGAGTCAGCGGCTCCTGGGTGCAGCGTCTTCACGTGCTTCTGGGACTGCAGCGGTTAGAGCCCGGTGGGCCCCAGGCACCTGTGAAGATGCTGCGCCCAGGAGCAGCTGACCTGCAGCAGGGCGCCCAAGGGTCAGCCCTGGGCTCCAGGTGGTGGTGGAGGAGCTGACTATTGCATGACAGTACTACAGTACAGGCCTAGCCAGCAGGCAGCCTCCACACTAGCACCCTTGTGCTCCAGCCAGCCCTGGTCACAGCCTACATGTGTATTTGAGCACAGGTAAGTACTCTGCCACAGGATAGTACTTGTCAGGCAGTACTATCCTATGGCAGCAGTAATTAGTTTATTGCACCCCAATATCAGTGCACATGTAGACAGTGGTGCTGCACATGTAGACAGTGGTGGTTTACTGTGGAGCTAATCAGTCGGCTTTGCAGTAAAGCGCACATGGGGATGCTCCCACTGAGATTTTGTTTCATCTTGCATCTGGCAGTAAGTCTGTGATCACATCATGACTGGCTTCAAACTTTGTACCATAGACTACCAACATTTGTGTGCTCCAAGGAGTTCAGGAAGCAGAGAATTGAACTTTTGGTCTTTGTACATTTATTTCATTTATTATTTTTATTCCTTGGGGTACTATAAAAAGTAAACAAACAGCTGCATTCATTTAGTTTTAGCAGTTGTCCCTAATGGAATATCTGAAATACTTTATATTTTGAGTAAAATGTGGCTTTTTTGGATATTTTCCAGGATTGTTTTCCTTTTTTAATTACCATTTATAATCTATACATAACTATTTTTTTTTAAGTTTGTATGCAAGTATTTGATTAAACTGAACATGGTATGGGGAGACAGGGGGAAATAACAAAGGCAACACCACACTACAATGCAGAACCTGAGCATCATTGCTTAAGTGTGTGTTTAGATATTCTTTACTGTTTAAAAAAATATACAGCATTGTTGTATTGCAAGACAATTTTATAAAGAAAACTGCTAATGCTTAGTTGTGCTTTATTCAAATGATGGTTGAATGTTTGCCTGTAACAGCTATAGTAACAGCTTGCCCATTCATTTCTAGATTTATTGATGGCATGAACATACTGCCTCTTGCCCGTCATGTAGGTTTTGAGTTTCTATACCGTCACCTGTGTTGTGGAATATATTTTTGGATAACAATAATCATATTTGACTAAAGCGGTTTTTACTCTTTTTTTGTTTGTTTGGATAACAGCTGTTTTTCATTTAAATTCTGATTTAAGATGGTAAATTTCATTATATAGTGCCTTTTGTGCAGTTCTTGCAAATAAGTGTTTGAGAGTTACTCAGGATAGATGATCCAGTAATATTTTTGCACTTGAGCTGCATAACCCGACTTTGTTCTAAAAATGTAACTAGTTGGGAATATTTTACGGTGCTCCCTGAAAATCACTAACAATCAAGGGAAAGAAGAGGACGTTTCAAAAGCTCCTTCATTTTAGCAGCACACATGTCAGTCCTAGAAAGAAATATTTCAGGATGTATATCAAGATTACCCAGAAGAACTTAGTTTTAAGATGAACAAAATTGCAATGCATCGACTTTCAGTGCTGTTTTACAAACAGTTTAGGGAAAAACAGAAATCAGTGAAATGTTGGTAAGCATTTCCTGGAATCAGCCTTAAATTCTTTTTTATAAGTTGTTCATATGTATTGTATTCTCTAATCTTTATTATTATATAACAGACTTACAATGTTGATGCAGTCTATCAGAGGGAATAGCTAGCATGCTTTGTGATGATGGCATAATCTTTGGTGCCTACATTTAACCCTAGACTGAGGTTTGTGGACATAATCTGGTAAATATTGCAACAAAGTTGGAATGTTGGGCAAATTTGTTAGCCATAGGCCATTTTAGTTCTTCATCTTCTACTTTGCACTCAAGAGATGACAAGTGTTCTCACCAAAGCCAGGTTACATCTGCAGTTACCAAGTCTGACAACTACATTTTGATATCCAATTCAGACAAATATCTGGTGTCCAGTATCCAATTTTGTATTGCTGTTACTGCCAGAACAAAGATTGAAAATTTATGAGTTTTTGGCTTTTTTTTTTAAATTTCAGGTGCATTTAAATAGCACCCATGGCTCAGTCCATTCTTTGGATGCAGACTTGCTGTTGTCTTCTGGAGAATCATTCAATAAATCAGATAGTGATATGTTTAAAGATGGACTTCGGAGAGCACAGTCAACAGACAGCCTGGGGACATCTGGATCTTTACAGTCCAAAACTTTAGGATACAACAACAAAGCAAAATCTGCTGGGAATCTGGATGAATCAGATTTTGGACCACTAGTTGGAGCAGATTCAGTTTCTGAGAACTTCGATACTGCATCCCTTGGGTCTCTACAAATGCCAAGTGGATTCATGTTAACCAAAGATCAAGAAAAAGCAATCAAAGCAATGACACCAGAGCAAGAAGAGACTGCCTCCCTTCTCTCCAGCGTTACACAGAGCGTAGAAAGTGCATACGTGTCCCCTAGTGGTTACCGCTTAGTTAGTGAGACAGAATGGAATCTACTTCAGAAAGAGGTAAGTAGCCCAATTGTTCATCTTGCCATTGTTCCTTTTGTGTGGTGATTAATCGTGTGGTGTTGGGTGTCCACTGGGTGAGAACTGTTCAGCCTGTCTAGATATGCTTTGAACATGGAGCGGGCTACAGAACGCCACGTGATCCTAGTTCTTTCCTCAGAAGATAGTCTTGTGGGGCAAAGCATATTTAATACACAAGGGGCCTGGCAGATGCAACTCAGTGGAAAGACCATTCCCCTTTTTATGAAACCTGGAAGTGTTGTACATGGAAGGGCTACAGGAAACAGCTGGTTTAGATACTGGGCTATCAATTGGAGGCTGCTTCTGGTCTTGCAAAAGGAGGGGAAAGAGAGAAGATGAGAAATAAAAAAGGCAAAAAAGAGATCTAGTGTAATCTTGAGATGAGCAGGACAGGAATAAAGATACAGAAAGAAAAGTGTTTAATAATGGAGGTCCTTAGCACCCGAGTCACTTAACACCAGTGGATCATGCAGGAAACAAAGTTTAGAGCATATATAAACCCTGCCACCAATCAAAATGTCTGTAGTCCACTAACCAACAATATAATCAGCTGCAGAACACTTCCAGGGACTTACTCTTTTTGGGAACCATTTTTGCAATCCTATAAGCAGTGGATGGTAACTGATATACAGTAAAAGCTCTGTTATCCAGCATGCCCCGGGAATGGGGGATGCCGGATAACAAAATATGCCGATTAATTGAGTGGCCCCAGCTGCCGCTTCTCCCACTGTGTCTGAGGCATCCCTTCACCCCTCCTGCAGCATCACCGCCCCTCCCATGGAACCTGCAGGCCCCACGAGACAGGGAGGTGGGCCCCACACAGCCTGTTATGCCACCAGACCATGGGGCCTTGGCAGCGCAGGCTGCTTTGCCACGGGCCGTGAGGGCTTGGAGAAACCGTAAGTGCCACGGTGGGCACTTCCGATTTCATTTTTCCTTCCAAACTGGCATGCTGGTTAAGAGAGCATGCTGGCTTGTAAGGTGCCGGTTACCAGAGAGTTTACTCTATTGTAATTCCAGTTAGCAAGATGCAGGTATCAAATTTATGCCCAATTCAGTGTAAAGCACCATGTTTACTGCGCAGTATGGGTGTGCATGTGTAGACAAGCTGACCTGACTGAAGAAGATGCCACATTAGAGTTTTGTTGAAGGAACTGGCAGGCAGCTAAATCAAAAGCCTGAGTTTGTTCTCTTGCTAAGGTGTGAGTTAGTGTTCAACTACTGTTACCACCATGTTCAGAGACTACTGAAAGGGGCTACTGAGATGCCCTGAAAAGGAGGAAATGGGAGCGAATATAGAGGGAGAAAAGTAAGTAAAAAAAAAACAACAAAAAAACAAGTACAAAAAAGGGACAAAGGGCAAAGAGAAAAGGAAGGACAAACACAGGAGTAAGAACTGCAAGAAGTAAAGAGGTGAATGCTGAAAGGAGAGAAACGGAGAGACAGGGCAGGTATGGTTGTGGTCATAAGACTGACTTTAGCATCTCAATTTTTGCAGGATTATTAGAATTCAAATAGGCCATCAGTTGCATGTTTAAGCCTCTCTGAACCAGTTCCTTTGTCATCTTGTCTGAAATGCTAAGAGGCTATGTTATGTCATCATGGGCAATTCCAGTCTTCTGCATTCTTTCCGACATTTTTTGCCCCACTGACATTTGGATGACATTTTATTCCATCCCTTAGAAATTCTGAGAGAAACATTGTTTTCCACTTGTTTCTGGGGGCAGGAATATAGGCGAAGTTTCAAACAGCTGTGAATACTGCTCTGTGTGGAGAGACAGGGAGTGGCAAATACAAATGAGATTCCACTTTGCAGCACTGACTTGTAGTTGTTGCTTTGTTAAAACCCTGGTCTGAGTCCTTAAATTCCAAAAACAAGAACTGAAAGATTGCCAAGCTGGATCAGAGCAGCAGCCCTTCTAGTTGAGAATTTTGTCTTTGACACCAGACAGTATCAGAGGGTTGCCATGGCAAAAAAATAGCAAAAATTTATTGCAGAGGCAGGCAAAAATTACTTACTCTGTGGGCAGAATGTAGCTGTGATTTTTGTTCACATTAGTTTACCAAAGTGTTTTATTTTGCAAATTAAAAAAAGACCAGTGTAATGTTGTGTGGAGAACAGGCATATAAAGAACAAAGTATTAAATCATATTAAAAAGGAGTTTTATTTGGTAGTGAATTTTCAAGGATTATGAATAAGACACATGAAAATTCTTGGCCTTACTGAAGTCAGTACCAAAACTTCATTGATTCCATGATGGTAATTACTTCACCCTATGTCCACTACATGAAAGCATTCTGACTCATGAGCCATACCACCAATGGGTGTAAATACATGTATATTAGATTGTAACTGCCTTCCCTGCCCTCCCCTCCAACCCCTACCTTCTGAGAATATGGAATATGTCCTGTATGGAAAGCTTATTTTTAACCACAGGCTTATATTTGGGAAGGTGAGTTTTTTGCCCATGTAATGTTGCTTGGGATGTTCTCATCTATGTTTTAAATGAATCCTGTTAAGCTCTTTGTTCCTGTTGCTGCTGACTGTGCTTCACCAGTTATTTATGGGGGCAGGTTAGTGCTAAATGTATTTGCCTTTTTATGTGAGAGGGTACAAGTATATGTGGGTGCTTCTATATGTGACCATTTACTGCACAGTAACCAAAATTACTGAACGGTATTGACATGTGTCTACACGTGCACACCCTTACTGCATGGTAAATATGGCGACTTACGCCGACTTGAGCATAACTTTGATACCTGCATGATGCAGGTATAAGATTTACGCCTCAATTGTAGGGTTGTACTGATAGAGATTTTGGGGACTGATGCAGAGCCAATTTTTAAGGAGGCATATCAGCCGATACTGATCCAATTTCTGATACAGCTACGTCCAGCTGGTAAGTCTCTTGTGGTAGAAGGGGGGAAGGAGGGGGAAAGGGGCATGGGGGAAGCAGACTTCATAGACATGAGGGCTGGAAGGAACCGCAGAAGACTGAGTCCAGCCCCCTGCGCAAGGGGCAGGAAGTCAGCTGGGGTCAAAGGATCCCAGCAAGATAAACGTCATAGAAGTAGGGTCGGAAGGGACCTTGTAGATCTTCAAGTCCGACCCCCCCCACCTGGGCAGGAGAAAAAAGGGCTCAAATGACTCCAGCCAGGTAGGCATCAAGCCTCTTCTTAAAGACCCCCAGGGTAGGAGCCAGCACCACTTCCCTTGGAAGTTGATTCCAGATCCTAGCTGCCCTGACCGTGAAGTAGCTCTTATGGATGTCTGATCTAAACCTCCTCTCCAACAACTTGTGGCCGTTATTCCTTGTTATGCCAGGGGGCACTAGGGGAAACGAGGTCTCTCCCAAACCCTTCTGGTCCCCCCTAGTGAGTTTGTAGACGGTCACCAGGTCCCCCCTCAGCCTTCTCTTGTGAAGGCTGAACGTGTTCAGGTCCCGCAGTCTCTCATTGTAGGGTCTGCCCTGTTGTCCCTGGATCATGCGGGTGGCCCTCCTCTGGACCCTCTCAATGTTGTCCACATCCCTTCTGAAGTGGGGCGCACAGCACTGGGCACAGTACTCCAGCTGTGGCCTGACCAGTGCTGCATAGAGGGGGAATTTCACCTCCTTGGCCCTACTTGAGATGCACCTGTGGATGCACGACAAGGTCCGGTTAGCCCTGCCAACCGTGACCTTTCACTGTCTGCCCATGTTCATCAATGACTCCAAGATCCCGTTCTGCCTCCGCGCTCTCAAGAAGGGCGTTTCCCATCTTATAAGTGCTGCTGGTTACTACTGCCCACGTGCAGCACCCTGCATTTGTCAGTATTGAAACGCATCCTATTTTTGTTAGCCCACCCCTGTAACCTATCCAGGTCTTACTGCAGTCTTTCCCTCCCTACCAGCATGCTCAC